CTGAGAAGGGGGCGGGGTCAGGGCCCTTTGGGTTTGCACAGCCAGACGGTTGGCACCCCTGCCGGGCAGACACGTACTGTGCTGCGAAAGCCTCACGCAGCCGGTCTGCCAGCAGCTCGCTGGGCACCAGCCAGGGCAGGTGCAACCCAGCCAAACGCCTGGCGGATGGCCCCGGCAAGCCCCCCTCGGGGCCTGGCATTGCCTTTGGCGCCCTCCTGCCCCCAGCTCCCCTTGGCCTGGCCCACGCCAGGTCTCCCACTGCCAATCCACACGGGGGGCTGTGCCCGCCTGTCTCCCGCTGCGAGGCTGCCAGAGCTGCCTGACACAGGCGGCAGCAGCCGCCTTCCCTCTCTGCTGTTCTTTTCGCCCCCACCCTGCTGGGTGTGCCCACCTCGTGCGAGCCCTCCGAGACCTGCTTGTGCTGTACGCGCAGCAGCAACCCCGCAAGCTCCCACCGCCAAAGGACAGGGAGCGGCCCCTTTAAGGCCAGCCCAAATACCATCCCACAGGGATTGTCTCCTGCAGAAGGGAGACGGGGAAAAACCTCCCTTCTTTCCTCCCGGCCTCTTCAATTCCTAGGAACCCTCCCTGGCGTGGGAACCCCACACTAAGTTGCATTGCCGAGCGCTGACACCTGGGATTAACACCCGCCCTTACTCCGTGGGGCTTCGTCCGCGGCCGGAGCCCACCTGGGAGCATGTGGCTGTACCTGGCCGCCCTGCTGGGGCTGTACTTCCTGCGCCGATGGTACCGGGAGCAGCAGACTGTGGAGAACCTCCGAGAGAAACACGTCCTGATCACCGGCTGCGACTCTGGCTTCGGGAACCTGCTGGCCAGGCAGCTGGACGCACGGGGGCTGCGGGTGCTGGCGGCTTGTCTCACCCCGCAGGGAGCAGAGCAGCTGAGGCAGGCGACCTCGGAGCGGCTGCAGACGGTGATCCTGGACGTCACCCGCAGCGACAGCATCGCCGCCGCGGCCGCCTGGGTGAAGGTGCAAGTGGGGGACAAAGGTGGGGCCTCTAAATCCTCCATTCCTGCACCCTCTGCCGGAGGTTTCCCCAGCCTTGATTCAGCCCCTGCCGGTGGCAGAGGCCACAGCAGGGCAGTGGGTAGCACAATCCCCAGGTTTCAAAAGACGCGGGGTGGTGGCGTGGTGGGTTTGCCACCAGAGCTGCCCTGGGGGGCTCTGTATCAGGGTGGGGGTGGGGGAGGGCAGGATGGAAGGTAGGGCTAGGGATGCAACGGGGCCCTAGGTTCCTTCCCCCGGGCCCGGGCGCGTCAGTTTCCGCTGAAAACCCCGGAGAGCAATTGGGTGAGGGAAAAGATCCCCATGTCCTCCTGCTCCGGGGAGGCTGGGAGGAGATTTACCCCTCGCTCTCCCTGTCCCCTCTCCCAGGGCTGTGGGGCCTGGTGAACAATGCAGGGATCATGGGCAAATCGGCCCCCAACGAGTGGCTGACGAAGGACGACTTCGCCACGGTGCTGAACGTGAACCTGCTCGGCCCCATCGAGGTGACCCTCAGCCTCCTGCCCCTGGTGAAGCGAGCCAGGGGCCGGGGCGTCAACGCGGGCAG